TATGAATGGCAGGATTGCTTGTAATAAAGATTTAAATGCAAAAGAGAAGGCAGTAGAGCTGTCTATTTCTGTCAATGGTAAGTTTGTGATAACGTAAGAAAAGTCGTTTAAATGTTTTGCCACTTGCTTGAGCAACTTAATATATAAATCTATAAGTAAATGCAAAATTAAAATGCATTGAATAATGTGTTGCTTATATTTATTGTGTTTAAACATGTCTGTGAAAGATTGTATTACTGTACTGTGTAAAAAAAGAATTGCGATGCTGAAAAAGCATTTTCAGTGACAGTGTTTGGATCTGAAATCAAACTAATGGATAAATGTTGTGTTTGTGGTAAACAGCCACGGATCAGTAGCGGACTCCTGTGTGAAAGCTGCTTCTCCTCTCACAAGAGTCACCTAAGAGGGGAATTCCCTCCATTTTCAAAAATGAAATTCAGGCCCTGAATAAATGTCTAAAAATCCTGATTGGAGTATCACTATAAATAGTTATAAATTATAAAAAGAAGGCTTTAAAAAGATCGGTATCGGTGATCGGTATCGGCAGATACTGCTTTCTGTGATCGGCGATCGGCCACAAAAATCCTGATCGGAGCACCCCTAAAATGGACCATGCCAATATCACTCCCACCTCCGTTAAAAAAACATTAAAAGGGACGGTTCACCCCTAAAAAAAAAATCTTCAAAATATCTTATTTTGTGTTTAGCAGAAGAAAGAAATTCATACAAGTTTGGAACAAATTGTGTATAACTAAATAATGACATTTTCATTTTTGGGGGTGAACTATCCCTTTAATGCATGAACGGTAACACTTTGCAATAAGGTTCCATTAGTTAATGTCAGTTAATGTATTTACTAACATAAAATTAAAATGAACTACGATTAATAAATATTGTAGAAGTATTGTTCATGCTTAGTTCATGTTAACTAAAGTAAACTAATGTTAGCTAATGAACCTTGTAAAGTGTTACCGCATGAACACATAGCAAAGGTATTTATATCGATATATTGTGACCACTAGAAGCAGCATGTACAATTGCAATGACTAAAGAATCCACCACAGATTAACTAACCTTCAAAAGTTTTCCTCACAAAGTATCCTTATCAAATTGTTATATGATAAATTACAGGGGCAATAATATCTAAGAGTGTCCAAAATATGAAAAAAAAAAGTGAGTGCCAATATTTAGAAATTTACTCTTTGTATTTCATATGGTTTTGAAAAACATTTATACCATTTTTACTGCACCTTAGTATAGTTTAAGAATATATTTTTTACCACTATCATGAATTATTAATTTACAAGTGGGGAAATGGATCACATGACATTTTACAACCTGAACTAGCCTAAAATTATTATATTTTAAGAACCTTACAGACCTTAACACAGTCATGAGGGTCTGCAAGGGTCTATGATATATACTATTGTTGTATGTTTTTTTCCCTGCATATTTATCCATTTGGGTTGCATCACATGGCTATGATTTTGTGGATGAAAGTTTTTCAAATATTAATAAGCAGTAAAGCAGTTTTGTTATTTTTTTACCCTAATAATAAGGACTATGGCAAACTATTTAATATGCTTTTAAGAATAATTTTTTTCT